CATTTTGTGGGGCCCCCCTCCTGGAGAGAAAGTGCCCAAATGTTGACTTGGAGTGAGGAAGAAGTGCGCTGGCCTTCTGACCTTCTCATCTTTGGCCGGGTTGACTTGCTCATCCAAGTGAGGTGCGGTGGGGGAGGCCTCTCCTCACTTTTCGCCCGCTTGCAACATGCAAGCGCTTCTCCCTTGGCTTGTTGGCCCGCCCCCACTCCATTTTGTGGGGCCCCCCTCCTGGAGAGAAAGTGCCCAAATGTTGACTTGGAGTGAGGAAGAAGTGCGCTGGCCTTCTGACCTTCTCATCTTTGGCCGGGTTGACTTGCTCATCCAAGTGAGGTGCGGTGGGGGAGGCCTCTCCTCACTTTTCGCCCGCTTGCAACATGCAAGCGCTTCTCCCTTGGCTTGTTGGGACCACGCCGCGTTTTTTCTGTTGGAAACTTGTTTCCATGACAACACCCGTATCAATCAAGCGGGGGGGGGGTGGGTGACGGCCACGGACACTTTTGTTCACACGGTCTTGTGTGGTTTTGCCTTTGCCGTTTGTTGGATGCACGGAGGCCCGTCGTGGCGATGACTCTATCGATCTTCCGCTCGATGAATAAAATGGCTGCGCCGGGATCCGGTTCACGGATTTGGATCATCGGCCGAAGCCGTCAACCACCTGTCTTGACTCGATACCGTGGGACTTTTTCAAAACGATTGTGGAATGCGTGGTGGGTCGCGGCCCAGAATCAAGCCACTTCTTGAAAAAAACCAAAACCAAAACGCGAATGTTGGCTCGCTCGTCGTGAGCCAATTCTAGAGCCATCTCAAACATTGACTTGTTCACCAAGATTTGTTTGAGTAATGAAGCCAGCAAAAACTGGAACTTGATCTTGATGCATCGCCCACGGGCTTTCTGACCTCAGCACACAGGAAAGGTGTCGCTCCTCGTCCGCCTGGATCTCAGCGCGGCGCGTTGACGGGTTGGAAATTGGGTTGGAACATGGCGGAAATGGAGGGAAGGAGTCGCTTTGTGACCACCGGAAGTTTGGAATGGGATGCAGCGGCTGTGGCACAAGGGTCGATCCTTGGACACCTTTGGTTCCAATCGCCACCCTTGGGCCAAATTGTTCGGAGCGCCCGTCTCGGCTCTCGCCGATGACGACACGCAGCCGCCGCGTGTCTGTCCGAGCCGGGATAGGCCGCGGCTCGCCCGCGACCCATCATGAGGAGGAGAAGGCGGGAGGCGCGGCGAGCCCTTAGTCAGCGTGACACCGTCCGTCACTGCCTTTCAAAAAGCAAGTCCGAAAGCTCGATTCGGATCAGACTCTCGGCAGTCGCGTCGAATCATAAGACGCTTCGTTTCTGTCCACGTGTCTGTCATGCGGCCTTTTCATCGCGTGCCACTTTGACAACTAACCGCTTGCGTCGCTGTGCAGAAGCTGGCGGTGCGGAGTTGCCCGGTGGCGGCGAGCAAGCCGCCGTCCCTCATCAAGCCCCCCAGCCAGGCCATCGCCATCTCCGCGGTGCCGGCGGCGCACCTCAACGGGCAGAAGGTTCCCGCCGGTTCGGAGCCGCAGACGGGCCTCGGCGTGGCGCTCGGGGGCGGCGGTCACCCGCCGGGCGCCGGGACCGCCCCGGACCTTCCGCCGACGCAGGTAACGGGTTCCCCGGCGGGAATTTGGGGAAGATATGTGAACTTTGCTGACCGGTGTATTTCCGGGCCGGTGCGGGGCAATTTTCAACAGGACGTCAACGTGCGGTAGCCGCCCGCTCCCGGGACTAACCCCGGCACAAACTTTGTTGCCGGCGCGTCCCCGACGCGCAGCGCGGTCCTACGAACGTGACGGCCGTCCAACGCCGCATTCGTCGACAGCAACTGCGCCGCATGCTACTTGCACGCGGCGCAGTTGCTGATGGGTTCAGTGCACATTAGACAACAGCCATACGTGGAACGCAGAAGATTGACAGGAGCTCAAAATTTTGTCATTTCGAACTAGATGGACGACATTCCCACACAAAAGCAGCGTCGTTGCCTGGAAGTTTTTCCAGCTTTTCCATTGAGCGAGCGAGCGAGCGAGCGCAAGATTGATGGCGCAAACGTGTGAGAGAATGATTGAATGAGTGCTGAGGAGCACTGTTGCCATGGAAACTGCCAGACCTGCTGGTTGGGGGGGGGTCAGCGCTGAAAAGTGGACGAACAAAAACAGCTCGCGATGAGTCCTCTTTTCACCTTTGGCGTCTGGTGCTACGACGCACACGCGCACACACACACGGAACACGTGTGCGCGGCGAGGACTTTGCAGGAAAGAAGTGTCAACAGGGAGTGAGTGGAGGAAAGACACCCTGTCACCTGGCCAAGGTGCTTGACCTTGGAGTAAATCAGCACAATGAGGAAAATAAAATGTCTTCTACTTGGAGAATTTCCCTCAGTGCGGTTGCCAAGGGAACTGGCCGAGCCCCCTCCCACCACCACCTCCCCTCTTCCCGTCCCCCTCCCCCTAGTGGCGAGTGGCTCTGCAGTACAGCATAGCCGAATCACAGAAGAAGAAAAGTGGGCGGGCGGGGGGGTGTCAGTAGATTGTAAAAGTCAGCCGGTTTGTTTGCCGAGTGTCAGCCAATCACAGCGCAGCTTCTTTGTTGCAGGAAGTGAGGACGGGCAGGCGCCGCAATGCAAAACGTACGCACTCGGTCCCGTGCGCTAGCCCGGACGATTGCGTTGACACTCGCTCCCTTTCGCGTGTGCGTTCTCGGTGACGCCGCCGACGTTGCCGTTATGACGAGGACGATGATGAGTTTGAATGGCTGTCTGGCAGATGACGGGCTCGCTCGGCTCGGGTCCCCTCAAGGTGCCTCGAGTCAGCTCCCTGCACCGCCTGGCCGGTCAGGCCGCCGGCGTCCTACCTCAGGTACTCGCGCCCGCTCGCTCAACGAGACTCGGAGCCGCGCCGGCTAACCCGCCGTTCCCTCGCCGGCGTTCAGGTCAGGCCAAAGACGCTGATTCCCGACAGCCTTCCCCGCAGTCCGCGCCAGGAGCCCCCCCAGGCCCCGCAGCGACGCCGCTCCTCGGCGCTCGCCGGCTCCTCGGGTGGGGGCGGGGCCGGCGCCGGCGCCGGGGTGGCCTACGCCATCATCGCCGCCTCGCCCGCCCGTGCCAACGGAGTGGCTGCCGTCAGCGAGGCCGTCAAGGTCAGATGCACGCACGCACACACGCACGCTGGCGCCCGTTGAATCACGTTGCCGTTGGTGTCGTAAGCTCATTTAAAGACCTTCCCCACTTTTTCCAGACAATCTCGCACGCACGCACGCACGCACACACACACTATATTGAGTATGAGTCGACTCGTACTCCAACCCCGCCAGGCTCTATTTCGAAGCCGACGATTTGGCCGTTGGAAGTGACGCTGGCTTTGTGTTGCGCGCGTGCTCTCGCTCTGTCCGCCGGCACTCCCGGTCTTTGGGGTACAGGTGGCATGCGGGCACCGTCGCCTGACGCGAAGACATTTTCACCGTATTTTCATCTCTCCTTTTGGAGCGAGGAGGAAACCGGCGTGAACACAAAGTCTTTCTTCCAAGGCGGACACGGCGTCCGTTTGCGCACGCCGATCGCAAATGTTTCAGAAGCGGGAATGTCGACTGAAATCGGGACTCGAGCGCAACATCGCGCTGCCTCCCGCGCGCACGCTGTTAGCACGATGCTATGTGTGCGCGTGTCGCCAGGTGATCATCATCCAGCCGCAAGCGCCCCGCGACGGCGAGGGAGGGGCGCTCGGCCTCCCGTCGCAAGAGCCCCCGCCCGATCCCGCCGGCTCCCCTTCCCGCAAGATTGACGAGGACCCCGAGGTGGGCGCTCGCTCTTTCTTTTGACAGCGGCTGTTCCACTCACATTGTGGTCTCTCTCTCTCTCTCTCTCGCAGAAAATTTCCTTCATGGTCGCGCTTGGCCTCGTGACCAACGAGCACCTGGAAGGTGACGGCGCGCTTCCGTCGCACCCGTCGCGTCTTTCTGCGCGCACGCCTTGACGTCGGTCACGCTTTGTGTTTTGGTAGAAATCCAGCTGAGGAGGCAGGAGAGGAAAAGGCGCAGCACAGCCAATCCCGCCTACAGCGGCCTCTTAGAACCGGAGGTCCTTTTCTTGCTCGGCACCATTTGGGTGACGGCGACGTCACGGCGACTCAAGTCTCCCTTTGGTCTGTCCGCAGCGCAAACGTCTGCCGTCGCATTACCTGAACGGCCCGCTCTTCGCGTCGGCACGAGGTAACGCTCGCGCCGCGCTAAGCTAACGTGTCACGCGCATGTCCGTCAATAACGCTCATCGTAACCGGAGAACGCGGAGCTGCCGTAGAAAGGAGGCCAATCTGGAGAATTGGCCACGCACGCCATCACGATGGCGACTTGCATTTCTGTCCCATTTCCAATTAGCGGGAAGCAAAAATGATCTCAATTGCTTTCCTTGCGTGCCCCCCCCCCCCTTAAAATGGGTGCTCTTCAGATTTGACCTCCAAATAAGTTGGCTGTCATTGTGCGTCTCGAGCTTTGCACACAGCGAACGCTAATGGCCGCGCGGCCACGGCTTTGAACACGCGCGTGCCGTGCCGCCTGTTAACCCCCCGCGCCTGCGCGCCGTGCCTAACGTGTGCTCTGCTTCATCCACATGCTAGACTCGGAGGACTTCTGCTGGAAGGTAGGTCACGTCACGTGACGCCGCTTCTTTCTCTCGTGACGCTCGCCCGTCGCTCTGCGCTTCCTGCTCGTACGGGCGCCCGCTCGGCCCTTTCCAGAGAGTCGCGGTCCCGAAAAACCCACCTGAATTCCTGCTGGGAAACGCACGCAACCGGCAGAATCCTTTTTCTTTTCGCGGGGCTTTTGTGTCCCGTACGACGGCCAAAGTTTGCGATGGTCATTGACGACAAATCGCAGAGCGATTTGGCTCACGTGTTCTCATTTTTGTGGAAGATGCTCAAGCTGTGGAAACGTGTGATGGAAACATGTTTGCTGTCAGGAGGGGTGAAACAAAAAAAAAGCCCAACTTGTTTCCAATCCTGTTACTCTCGTTGGCTTTTTGTCCAAGCAAAGGCAGAAACTCGATTCCGAGTGGGATTTGACCCGTTTCTTGATTTCTTTTCAAGGCGTAGTAGTCGGACTCTGTATTTCGAGGAAGCGTTGCGTTGATGTTTTCCAGCCGGCCCGGACACAAATGGACTCGAGCACGCGTATGATGTCACGGTGTGACCCCGCCCGTGGAAACGTGAACCGAACCTTGTCGCGCTGATTTTAAATCACAAATGATGCAACGGCGCCCTCTGCTGGCTTCCTGAAGTCAACAGTTAGTCAGTGGCAGCACATGTTTGCATTGTCAAGAAAAACGTTCACTTCGGGTCCGACGCTCTGCCCTCGAGAATCCAAAAACGAAACCAACCAACCCCC